ATTTTTCTTTATTATAATTATTGTAAACAAAGAAACAAAAATCAACAGAAAAAGTAAATAAAAACGCAATGTATAATATTTTATGTAAATGGTGAAGGAAAAGAAATAAAAAACAATTTGAATTTTTGTATATTACAATTTTAATTTTCTGAATTTTCTGGATTTTCTGGAATATTTATGTTTATATATGTTTCTTTTGTTATAAATTTGCAAATAACTCTGCCGTGAGAAGTAAACTTCCCGGTGGCAAAAGAGAACGTCCGAACATTTTCTTAAAAAGGAAACCCGGTGGTGGGGCGCTTGGAAAGCTTACCAATTAAAAAAGTTAGTCTGCAAGTTAAAATACAGCTTTTTAAAGAGACTAAACCAATTGCAACTTAACCTTTAAACTTGATTTTATCAAACCCAGTAGAATTTAAAATCCCGTTTAATAAAATATAGTTTTCTTCTCGCACTCACTCGCTGCAACCAAAAAAAAAAAAAAAATGCGTTCAAATTTCTTAATAAATTTATTTCTATTTGTGATCATTTCAGTATATCCTTTATATACAACTTCACAAACTTTTTATCATAATGAAATAAACAATTACGAAGGAACGCTTAATACATCTCGAGTATGGAATATGAGGATGTACGATAATGGCACAGTAGTATTAAGAGTCGTTAGAATTAAAAGAATTCCTGATAAACCTCCTAATATAGGTCTTTGTATGTTTGAAGAGTTTTCTTTAAGAATCATTTATCCTAACGGGACGGTTGTTGAGAACGACATTTTGTTAGACATTCCGGAGTTTAACTATTGCTCGCGCGCAGATCGTACTGATCCGTTAAAGCCACGGAATTTGGAATTAATAGAATATTATTTGATTGGAAAGAAATACATTTTAGTTACTTACTTTAACGCAACAAATAGCAGTGATTACGATACATATGAAGATTGGGGAGTGATAATTGATTATAATGGCAACGTTTTAGATAGAATTCGATTTGGTGTCTCATTTACAGTCAATCACAAGCTTGTGATAAATACTCATATAGTTTTAAATGTTAATAGGGAGAAAGGATTTATCAGACTTAATTTCATTAAAGGTTCACTAAATGCGGAATGGCGACAATTTTATGTAAATTCTGACGGAAAGTTAACCGATTTAACTAATGGAACGCTTAATTTTATCGATTATACGACTTTAACTGTTAACGTTATTTCAACAGTTGATGAGGGTTATGCTATCGTATATGCAAATATGACTGGAAAGTTCCAAACAATCGATACAAACGATACAATTGAAAATAGTACAGAAGAAATGTTATCACCAAAAATTCAACTCTTCGCTACACTTATAAGACATAATGGAACGCTTATCGAACCTTTTATACTTTATCAATCATCTTTACCAAATTTAATTATTGAATCATTACATTGTAGTATTGCATACGTCGATGTTGGTCAAATATGTGTCTTAACCTTAAAAAATCAAGGCAACAAAAGGTTCGTTGTCAAAAACGCTTTCGTATCTTGTGGTACAGTTTTTTCCTCTTCAACTTTTCATTATTTACTTCCTGACATCGATTTTAACGAGTATTGGGACTTAGTAAGTTTACCATTTGATGGTTATTTGATAACAAATAAAATTGCAGTTAAAGGTTCTAAGGGAATTTTAATGCATGGTTTTTTACTTAATCAAGATAAGAAATCGATTGAACCATGGGGCTTGGAAGAACCTCGACTGTGTAATGTAAATGGTGATTTTTTGGTATTACCGAATAATACTATGATAATAGCGAACCTTGAAGATGATAATGGTAATAGCTGGTCATTCACGATACATGAGTTGCCTAAAATGCTTGATAGAAAAAATGATTATTTGAATGCAAACATTGAGTCAAGTTCGCCACCAATTAATGGGATTGTCATTCCAGGGCAAAATATTGAGATTAATTTTTATGTTCGGGTAGAATTATCCGACGGTCAAATTGAAATTCATCAAATTGAATCCGGTCAAACTTCATTACGTCAAATAATTCACAGCAGTTCGGAAGATATCTTGTTGAAAAACGAGGGTAAAACGTTGGTCATAAAAGTATACGATAGTACTTTTAGTGTATCGTACAAGAATTATTTTATTAAGATGGATAATAATTTTGTTAAAAGTTATGTGTATCGAGAATCTTTAATGGGCATAAAAGAAAATATTTGGACAGTTATTAGCAGCGAAAGAACTGTTAATGACGAACGTTTTTATCCTACAACCACTTGTCAGCTTCGTCTAACCGATGAAGGTACAAAAGCCTACGAAGAATATTTATCTGCTGGAAACCGTACGATTTTTTTCGATTCTTTGTTAAAAGAATTGGTCGATGCTGTTCCTATAAATATCAGACTTCTTGATTCAAACAAATACGCTGAGCGTGATTTTGATGTTGAGAATCATTCTTTTCTATATTTAATCTCTGTTGTGATTAAACAAGTAGATTCTGAACAAGATGTAGGAACTGTTATCAAGTATCTTCGTACGTTGATTAGAAATAAAAAATATACTCCAATCGGTAGTGGCAAATTTACTAAGTATTTGGACGATACTTTTGGTATTGAAGTTACAAGTATGTAAACATGTCGCGAATACTGGCTCTTTTTAAGAGATTTCTTAAAGAAATGTTTTCTCTTTTTTTTTCGCTTGACACTATAGCAAATTTATGGAAAAAATATAAATACGGATTGTTCAGTGTGATTTTGATTGGGTTGGTCATTGGACCTTCATTCTTCTTTTTCTCTAAAAAAAAGGGTGCTGATCCAGAAAAGAATAAGAAGGTATAGTATGCTTTATTATATTAATTTTTTTTTTAATAAATAAATAAAATATATAAATTTATTAATTTAGAAATTTGGTAAATTAAAACTTGGATTATCAATTATTTTCAAACTTTGCGTCTGTATTTTCGATCTTATCATGGATATCCTTTTCATGTTTACGAACGCCAAAAACGTTCGATCCGTTTTTATTCCAAGGTATGATGATACCTTTGTAATTTTTTTTTTGATTTATTTTTCTAACTTTTAATTCTTTCCGAAACAGCATTATTTTTACAACAATTCCACTTTTGTTTAACGGAATTTTTGCTTACATTATTATATCAAGCGAAATTAACGACGTAAAGAAAAAAGAAAAAGAAAAAGCCGACGCAAAGAGAGCAGAAAAAGAAAAAGAAGTTGCAGAACAAACTAGTGAAACTAAAAATGAAAAAGATGAAAAGAATAAATTGTTGACATCTGAAAGCTCTAAAGATGATAAAGATTTTAACAAATGGCTTAAAAATAATATAGCATTAGCAAGTATATTAGCTACCTTATCTTGTGCTGATATTGAAGTCTTTAGTGTTTTAACCTTAGAAGGTCTTCCTGAAAAATACAAAGCTCCTTTTAGTCCGGATGCTGAAACAAGAATGGTTTTTGTTGCTTTTTTAAATATCTTCGCTGAAGATATTCCTCAATTTATCATTCAAGTAAGTTCTCTTTCTTTATAAAATCAACAAAATAAAAATTAAGAATTCTTTTGTGGATACTAAGAAACTTTTTCCCTCCTTGTACGTTTAGATTTTATATATGCTTAGGACTGTAAATTATGGCGTTATTCCATTACTTACATTATTTACATCTGCATTAAGTTTAACAAGAAATATCGTAAGTAAATTATTATATTTAGCAATAAATAAAAAAAAGAGTATCTACAAATTAAGATAAAAAGATAAACTTGCTCAGGCGGGTGAAATAAATTTATAATACTGTATATATTTATTATCTTGCAATAAAGATATGTTTCATTTTTTTTATATATATAAAAAAAAAAAAAAACTTCCGTAATCTTCAGTTGACCAACCAGAGAGAGTGATGCACTCGCCAATAAAATGGCTCGTTTCGTTAAAAATCTAATCCTTCATTTTGTTTTTGAACAAAAGTTCGATTATATTATCAATTAGAATATTAATCCTTCCTTTTGATATGATTTTTGTGTTTAATAAAGAGAATGTAGAAATAAATGTTTATTGTTGTAAAATGATATAATGTAAAAAAAAATTTTTTCTTCAAAGATTTCTTATCGATCAAATACATGACTCTCTGAAAGGTTAATTTCGCAAATAAAGAAATGTCAAAATAATATAGTTAATATTATTATAAAATTATCGTTATAGTTTGATGTTCTTAATAATGATTCGCTTATGAAAAATGAAATTTTGAATTTTCTAATTGTTGTAATCCTCAAATATGAAATTAGAATGACCTGAGACGTAAATCAGCATTGCTTTATAATTACAAGAATGATAATTTATTTATAATCGTACCTATTTCTTCAAGGGAAACCTATAGAAAAAGAATGATAAAACAAAAGGTCGTAAGTTAAAATCGATCGCTGCGGCCCGAAGCAGTCGAGACCGAGCTGTATACAAATTAGAAATTTAAATATTAGTTATAATGAATGGTTTTAAAATTGATGAATCAATTTATAATAAACTTGTTATAAATATGCTTCAACGTGTGGTAGCTGCAATTTACTCTAAGGCTAAACCACAAATATTAAAAATATACTTTGAAAAAAAAAAAAAATTTAAATAATTTACTTTATTGTTGATCACTACAAATATTCAAAAAATAAGATTAATTATATTGGGTTGTGATCTTAAATGTACTTTATTTATTTATTTTTTTTTTTAAAAAAAAGAAGAATTCAGTATATATATAAGGTTTATCTGATTTTCAACAGGAAAAAAATGACTGCTTTACGGCTTATATCCTTTTTAAAATCTGTCATTAAATATTGGCGTTCCATATTGACGATGATGGCATTACTTATTAGACGTCCCTTATGTACAGGGATGTTCAAAATTTAAAGCATGATCCACCACCATTAACAACTGTAAACATCACTTACCTTGGATTGTAACTTTATCTTTATGTTGAAAATAAATAGGTATGTATGTTCTTTTGGTTTCGTCGTATATCAATATTTGTGTATATGCAATACATAATACGAACGTATAATATACATGTTCAATACATAAATGCAAGAATCCGGGAACCAGTTTGTAATTTTTATATTTATGATTGTAATTTTAGATTTATTAAAAAGTTTTGGGATAAGACTTTGAAATTAAATTTGTTTGTCTTCATTATTTGTGATTCCAACCACACAAATGAATCTATCGTATCTTGGGACATTTTTTTTTTTTATGACTTTCAGAATTGTTATTATTATTTGCAATAATAAAGTTATGCCAAGTTTATAACCAATAAAAAATTGTCTCTCCAAATATACAGTCACCGGCGAAAGTAATGGCACTACAAGCGCTGCTTATTTTTTGAGTCGTAGCATGTTCATTTTTCACTCTAGAATTTTCCAGT